AATGAACCTGCACCAATAAACACAAACAAAAAAAAATCGATTAAAATCAAATGTGTTAAAATCGAAAAAAAAACCAGAAATCGAAAAAAAAAATCTAAATTGAAATGGAAAAAAAACCCAGAAATCGAAAAACATAAAAATGAAAATTGAAAAAAAATCAGAATAAAAAAAAAACAAAATTGAAATCAAAAATAAAATAAACCCAGAAATCGAAAAAAAATGAAAATAAAAAAACCCAGAAATCGAAAATCGAAAAAAAAATGAAAATCGAAAAAAAAATTCAGAATCGAAAAAAACATTGAAATCGAAAATAAAATAAACCCAAAAATCGAAAAAAAAAATGAAAAATCGAAAAAAAAAAACCCAATTAAAATCGATTTGAAATTAAAAAAAAACCCAGAAAAAAACCTAAAAATCACGAAAATAAAAACCCCAAAACCGCATGCATTAACCCAAAAATGAAATACTTCCTCCGTTCTTTTTTACTTGACCCGCTTTGACTTTTACACTATTCACCACTCCTCCTTTGACCGTGTTATGTGAATAATAATTAAAGAAAAATATATTCATGTAAGATATTTTTAAATTCGTCTCAAAAAATACTATCATAATATATAACTTTTATACTTTTTAGTTATCGAGAATTAAAGTTATTGGTCGTTAAAATTTTGCATTGACAAGCGTGATAAAAAAAACAGGTCAAGTAAAAAAGAATAGAGGAAGTATAATTTAACAGTAAATTAACCCAGAATTCGAAAAACAAAATCAGAATCGAAAAAAACACAATCAAAATTAAAATCGAAAAAAACCCCCAGAAATAGAAAAAAAAATCGAAAAAAACTAGAAACTGAAATTAAAAAAATCAAAATCGAAAAAAAAAATCTATTAAAATCGAATTATAAAAAACTAGAAATCGAAAAAAAAACAATCAAAATCGAAATAAATTGAAATTGGAAAAACCCACAAATCGAAAACACCTAGAAATCGAAATAATTGAAATTAAAAAAAATTGAAATGGTAAAAAAACAAAAAGGGAAATTCTACATGGTGGCCTCCAGGTTTCAATTTTCTACGTGGAAGACACACTTTTTTGCAACTCTCTCAAGTGGCCCTTTGATTTTGCAAAATTACTTATAGTGTCTTTTTTTTTGTTTTATGGCTAACTTTTATAATTAAAATGGTAAACCTAAAGTTTTTTTGTTTAAAAATTAATTAAAATATATTTAAAAAAAAAAAGAAATTTAATAAAAAAGAAACCCCCAACCCACGACCACCCTCCCCACCACCACGTCCACCATCCACAACCCCAACCCCCACACACCGCCGGCGCCCAGAAACCCTTTTTTCCGCGTCGGCGACCCTGACTCCCTACTCACTGAAGCCACCACGGCACCACCTGACCCCGATATCCCTAACCCGAAACCCCTTAAAAATCCTCTCCCATAACTTTAAACCCCAAATCAGGCCCTCCCTCATCCTCGAAACTCTGTCGCCAAGAGTTTTGAGGGTGGGAGAGGGCCGATTTTGGGGTTTAACGTGCTGGTGGTGGGAGGGGGTTTATTCAGGTTTCGAATTTGGGGGTTTTAGGTGGTGGGTTTAGTGGGTAGGGGGGACAGGTCGCCAAAGCCGGCGCGGAAAAAAGGGTTTTTGGGTGCCGACGGTGTGTGGGGGTTGGGGTTGTGGATGGTGGACGTGATGGTGGGGAGGGTCGTGGATTGGGGGGTTTTTTTTTAATTAAATTTCTTTTTTTTTATTTTATTATTTTAAAATATAATTTAATTAATTTTTAAACATAAAAACTTTGGTTAACCATTTTAATTATAAAAGTTAGCCATAAAACAAAAAAGGACACTATACGTAATTTTGCAAAACTATAGTGCCACTTGAGAGAGTTGGAAAAAAGTGTGTCTTCACGTAGAAAAATTAAAACCTAAAGGCCACCATGTAGAATTTCCCAAAAAAAAAACCAAGAAATCGATTAAAAGAAATCAAAATTGGTGTTGCATGTTGTGGTCTTCGAATTGTTGGTGGTCTTCGAGTGATAGAAAGGAGGAGGAGATCCAGAAAGAGAAAGAAATGATGGAGATCGGTGAGCAAGAAGGAAAGAGGAGGAGAGGTGAGAGAAAGAAGAGGAGGAGAGAGAAAGAGGAGGAGAGGAGAGCGAAAGGGCTGAGAAAAATTAAGGTTGGGGGGAGTTAAATGGGGCATTTTTTTTTTTAATAATTAAACGAACCGGTCCGTAAAGGCACCGGTTCAAACCGGTGCCCTTTTTATTTTTGGCACCGGTTTGAGCTGAACCGGTGCCATTTCTCTTTGTTTAAAAACCCGCCCATTTTTTGGCCGGTTTTTGCCATCGGTTTGGCCTGAACTGGTGGCATTAGGGGATTGCCTATTTGTATTTTTCTACTAGTGCTTTGAAGTTGAATGTGTTGCTAGTGGGGTTGGAGTTGGAGCGGTTCTTGGGTAGGAGGGAGGCCGGTTACCTATTTTAGTGAGAAGCTTGGTGGAGCAAGCATGAGGTATAATACCTATGACAAGGAGTTCTATGCTATTGTGAGGGCTCTTGATCATTGGTCACATTACTTGAGGCCTAGACCATTTTTACTACACTCGATCATGAATCTCTCAAGTACATCAATGGTTCTCATAAACTCAATGCAAGGCATGCCAAATGGGTTGAATTCTTCCAATCATTCACTTTCTCTTCTAAGTATAAGGAAGGGAAGAGCAATGTTGTTGCCGATGCTCTTTCTAGGAGGCATTGTATGATCACTATTTTTGATGCGAAGTTTTTAGGGTTTGAGTTGCTAAAAGAGTTATATCGCGATGATGAGGATTTTGGTGGGTTGATGAAGAAGTGTGAGGAAGGGGTCGATGGCTCTTTCATGGTGCAACAGGGTTTCCTTTTCAAGGGAAACAAGCTTTGTGTTCCGAAATTCTCTCATCAACGGTTACTTGTTAAGGAAGCTCATCAAGGAGGACTAGCCGAACACTTTGGGGTTGCAAAAATATATGACATTCTTCGATAGCAATTTTATTGGCCCATGATGTTTGGTAATGTGCAAGATGTGATAGCTCGTTGTGGGGCTTGTCACAAGGCTAAGAATCAATTCCGTGAAGGACTCTACTCTCCTCTTCCGGTCCCTAGTCACCCTTGGGATGATCTTAGTATGGATTTTGTGGTTGCTCTCCCTCGCACTCAAAGGAAAAATGATTCCGTGTTTGTTGTGGTTGATTGTTTTAGCAAGATGACTCACTTCATTCCTTTCCACAAGACCGATGACGCTTCTCATGTGGCTACCTTGTTCTTTAGAGAAGTGGTGAAGCTTCATGGCATTCCAAAAAGTATTGTGTCGGACGTAACCCTAAGTTCTTGAGCTACTTTTGGAAGACTTTGTGGAAGTTAGTGGGAACCAAACTCTTATTTAGTACCTCTAGTGACCCTCAAACCGATGGCCAAACCGAGGTGACTAATCGTACCATGTCCACCGTTCTCCGAGCTATCATTAACAAACACATGAAAGATTGGGATCTTAAGCTACCTCAAGTTGAATTTTCTTAAAACCGCTCTCATTGCATAACTACCGAGAAAACACCATTTGAACTAGTGTATGGCTTTAATTCCCCCCTACCACTTGACTTGTTGCCTAGTATCCCTCAAGAGGAGTTGAGCTTTGAGGCGAAAGATAGAGTTGAAACAATGAAAAATCTTCATGAAGATGTCAAGAAGATAATTGAGAAGGCGAATGAGAGTTACAAGGCAAGGGCAAACAAATTCAAGAAGCCAAGGTAATTCAATGTAGGTGATCTTGTGTGGCTCCATCTTCGGAAGGAAAGATTCCCGGCTAAGAGAAAGAACAAGCTCATGCCAAGATCCGAAGGCCCCTTTGAAGTTGTGGAGAGAGTTGGACCTAATGCTTACAAGCTCAAACTACCGGGAGACTTTTTTGTTCATGCTACCTTTAATGTTGGTTATCTTTCTCCTTTTCTTTTTGAAGATGATATTGGTGATGATGAGCTGGAATTGAGTGTAATTCCTTTTGAAGAGGAGGGGTTTGACGCGGGTGCATGGAACTTAGTGGAAGAAGTGGAAGACTTGCCACGTGTCGTGACACGAAGTCGGACCAAGCTCCTTGGAGGTCACCTTTCGGGACTAACCATCATCACATTTAAAGACAAGAAGAATTGAGGAGGTTCGAACGAACCTAGGAAGTCCGACCGAACCATTTTGTCAGTTTCAAACGCGATTTTGTCAGTTTTGGAGCAGTGGTCGAACTCCAAAGGTTCGACCGAACCAGGAGCAGGACAGTTCGACCGAACTTACCCTTAGTTCAACCGAATATACCAACAAGTTCGACCGAACTTACCCTTAGTTCGGCCGAACCTTTTCCCATTTTCTTGTTAGCTTGTGCGAACTATTTAAGTTGTTTTAAGACGTTTTTCATCTTAATTAATGTTGAACTTTGCTTGATTTTGTAATCAAAGAGACTTTTTCTCTCTACCATATTCTTTGTGATTATCTTGTTTTCTTTGTGATTGCTACCTTGTAATCTTTGTGGTTACACCTTAATCCTAGCTTTACTTGGTGTTGGCTTTGATTAAGACCCCTATTTTCATTATCTTGGTGATTTTGAGATAGGTTTGCCTTATTTTGTTGGTTTGAACTTGTTGCTACTTGATTTCTCCTCCCTTTTCTTGGGTTTTTTTGGTTATTTCATATCATTACTTGTCTTTAAAGCCAAGGGAAAACTAAGGTAGCTCTAAAAAAAGCTTAAAAAACAAAACAAAATGCTTTGTGTTGGTTGATGACTTGATTCGTTGATGTCTTCTATCTAAAATTGTCCCTTTATTTATAGTTAAATAACCATTGCGGTCTTCCCCATGATATCCAATAATAACTATTAATTAGTTAATACTCTTAACGCCAAACTCCATCTGATTTATATTTTTTTGAAAGAAACGGGATTGTGGCATTTTATTAATAAGCAGCAAAAATTACATCACATCAATCTCCGCCAAGGCCAGTAGACCTTGCGGAATAGAATCCACAAAATTTGTTCAACACCATTACTAGGCTCTAATCTAGCTGCTAAATGTGCCACAATATTCCCACATCTCTTAACATGATAGCATTCGAAAGCTTCAAAACTCTTGCCAACTTCACGAACATCTTCAACTATGAGGTCGAGAGGGGTTCTCCCATTCATAACCTGATTAATCATCTTCACCACTCCACTAGCATCACACTCAAGCTCGATCTTGTAATGTCCTAGTGTCTTTGCCATATTGACACCGAACCTTGCTGCCATTGCTTCCCTTCCTTCACCGAGAACTTCCCATTGACACGGCTTACACCTGCTGTAATGATCTTTCTCTCATCAGTGCGCATCACAACCCCCGGCCCAATCACGGTCTCAGATAGAACAACCACATCCGTGTTGACCGTCGTCCATTCAACACGAGGTCTCTGCCAGGAGCTACGAGAGCCCACTTCCCTTCGCACACTCACACCACCTGTCGCAACATTGTACTTATTATAATCTTCCACCATCTTAACAAAGCCCATAACACTCACCACACATTAGCTCCAAGGTTCATCAAACACCACAAAATTTTGATACGACCATGCCGCCCACGCAATTGATGCAAATTTGCTTAATTCATTCCTGTCTACCTTTGATTTTATCCATAATAGGAGCTCAACAAAGGATGAAAGTGGTGCATCCCTTGAAATTTCAGAAAAAGAGGAGCAGCACCAGATTTGCTCGACATTGGGGCAACCAATAATTGCGTGGTATATAGTTTCAAGAGCAGCATTACATAGGGAGCAGCGATTATTATCTCGAATGTGCCTGCTATACAACCTCTTTAAAGTAGCCAGGGAGCCAGAGCAAGCTTTCCACAAGAACTGGCGCATCTTTGGGGGCCCTTCCATATTCCACACCATCCTCCTAACCTTGTCACCGTCCCCACCAAACTACTCCTCCCATCCACGAACATGGCCCAAACGGCCTTACCAATACCTTGACTTAATAGTATAAATACCATCTTCAGTCGGCCACCAATACCGGATATCTTTCAGATTTCTGGAGCTAAGGGGGATCCCACGAACACGTGTAGCATCCCCTTCAATTAAGTGCAGATTGACCTGATCCCAATCCCACTCACCCTTGCAGCTATACATTAAATCTGACCCTCTCAAAGACCCTGTGCTCTCCAAATTGGGAGTAGGTAACGCTGTTGAGTAGCTTCCCGGCAGCCATGCCTCATCCAAAACATTGATACTCTCACCATTACCCACCCGCCACTTTAAGCCCTCGAGAAGAAGAGATTTTGCTCCCCTAATGCTTCTCCAAACATAGCTTGGGTCATGACCTCTCAGAGAAGAAATAAAATCGCTATTTTAAAAATAACGAGCCTTCAAAATCTAGTGAACAAGAGAATTAGTGCCACAAAACAACCTCCAACCTTGCTTGGCAAGTAGAGTTTGGTTAAAAATCTTTAAGTCCCGAAAGCCTATCCCCCAAGGGATTTGGGGAGACAAAGCATCTCCCAACTTAGCCAATGCATTTTCCTTCTCTCCCCATTCGAACCCCACCAAAATTGGACAAGTATCGAGTGAATTTCATCCAAAATTCCATCAGGAATTTTGAAAACCCCCATCATATACGTCGGTATTTCTTGAGCCACCGATTTGATCAACACCTCACGACCCGCTTGTGACAAAAGTTTCCCCTTCCAACCTTGCATTTTCTTCCAAATCCTCTCCTTGATGCAATTGAACACCACCCTTTTCGACCTCCCAATGATAGTCAGCAACCCCAAATACTTTTCATGTTTATCAACCTATCGAACACCAAGAATAGCCAAAATGTCATAACGTCGTCCTTGTTCAACACTCTTGCTGAAAGCAACCTCAGATTTCTCAAAATTAATTTTTTGTCCCAATGCTCTCTCATAAACGCTAATTATATTAGCAATTTTAGAGCATTCCTGAGTCGTCGCCCTAGAAAACAGAATACTATCATCTGCAAAAAAACAAGTGTGAAACCCGTGGAGCCCCTCTACACACCCTAGCTCCACGAATCAACTGCTCATCTGCAGCCTTCCTCAAAAGACTAGAAAAAGCTTCCGCACATAACAGATTCAAGTACAGGGAGATAAGATCTCCTTGTCTAAGCCCCCTAGCCGGAACAACACAACCATCAACAGTCCCATTCCATTTAAAAGTGTATTCGTCACTCGATAAACACATCATAATTCTCCTCACCCAGTCATCTCAAAATCCAAATTTGCGTATAACCACATCAACAAAACTCCACTCTACTCGATCATAGGCTTTGCTCATATCAAGTTTGAGCGCCATTGTCCCCATTTTGCCTTCCCCTCTACGTTTCATGGCATGAAAAATTTCAAACGCAACAATAGCATTGTTTGTAATTAATCTACCCGACACAAAAGCACTTTGATGATGGGAAATAATGTTAGGCAAAATTAATTTAAGTCTATTTGCTAGCATTTTAGAAATAATTTTGTAAACAACATTACAGAGACTTATGGGGCGAAACTCTCTCATACGACGCGGTTCATTGCATTTGGGGATGAGAGCTGTACAAGTCTTGTTGATGTTTGAGATGTCAACACTGCCATTCCACCACCCTTGCACAAATATGACAACGTCCGGACCAATTATACCCCAGAACTTTTGGTATAACAGTGCATGCATCCCATCGATCCCCGGTGCCTTGTGATGCATACTCGAAAAGGCCTCAAAGACTTCCTCTGAGCTAGGCTCTCTAATGAACTCGACATTCATATCATCCGATTTTCTTTTATAATTTGAATTGAGTGTTAGACCATTTTTGGGCATCTCTGTAGATTTCTCAGTGAAATATATTATATTATCAATTTTAATTGATTTTGAATTGTGTGTGGGGCCATGGTCGGGTGTGAGGCCGAGTTGCTTCCCGATGCTTAATGAACATGCTAACCACCTTGATTGTGAGTCTTAGGTAGCTCAATGTGGGTTAATTGTTGTCGTCTGGGGGTGTGTAAGACCTTACAGGCATCCACCCATAACCGGGAGTTGGCCAATCTTAGACACGGTCTCTGCGAGATAACGGGGGGGTTCGTCCTGACAAACCTTAGGAAATGTATTACGAGGCCACTAGCGTTTCCTCCATGCCAATTCTGCTGTTTAAATAATTTTTGAATATATTATGAAAGTATATGAATTATATATATATTTTTGAAGTTTATGAAATTTTGGTTTAGTTTGGTTTATTCAATTTAGCTTACAAAGTTATTTTGTGATTTGTATGGTTAAGTGTAAGTGATTTCTTACTTGTAGTTTAATTTCGAAACCCTATTATTTCTGGTTTGAGGGAGAACTACTAGTTTCTCTCCACTAATTGTTGAATTTTGTGGTTGTTTCAGATGCATAGTGATGTTAGGTTATATAATGTTGGGTCGGGTTTGAGTAGGCCTTAGGCCACCTTAAGTTGGAATTTTAATTGCTTTGGTTTGGTTTGGTTTGTTTGAATTGTTGCGTGGGTTCTCTTAACTTAGTTTGGCTTGAATATATTTGGGAATTTCCGATAAGGGTTGTTCTGCCTTTGGCTTCTTGTAATTTTATATTTATCTATCTTTTGTTCGTTAGTCGAGTTCTTCTTCTAGAGCCTCAACTGTCACTTTTAGACCAGTTTAGGTTTGAATACACTAAAATACAATGTCTATGCTCCAATTAGATCACATAGACTTAACTTTCGATAGTAACAAAGTGACCTCCATCACAGCGTATTTCCGCTAACACCAAAATTTGTATAATGACGGGTTGTTACAATTGGTATCAGAGTAAACGGTCTAAACTATAAATGAGTTGCTGCAGTTTCTTGAGAAACTTGTAGTTCAAAGTAAAATGAATTGAAACTTGAACTATAGTGAGTGACTTGGGTAGGAAGTAAATGGTGTGTCTACTTGTTTAATTACTTGCAATTTACTTGTGTAATAGTTTATGAAAAAAACAAACTAACTTATTTGTTTTTAGAATGCCTCCAAGAAGGATGGACGACCAAAAAGAAGCATCTCGCCGCTGCCGAGTGGCACTTGAGATAGCAATAATCTCTCTAGCCAATCAGAATACTGCTCCATCGAGCGGGAAGTCAACCTTTGATAGGGTTTGACCATCACCGACCATTAACATATGAAGGGACAGCCGACGCAATTATTCTAGAAGGGTGGCTTCGGGAGATGGATAAGTTGTTCACTACAACCGGTTGTCCGCAAGCTGAAAGGGTTGCAATCGGAACCTATTACTTGAAGGCAAAGGCAGATAGTTGGTGGAGCATCGTTAAGGACGGGTGCGTAGCAACACCAGGGTTCGGATGGACTGAGTTTGCGGTTCGACTCAAGGAGCGATTCCACCTAGATGAGCTCTGCTGGCAGAAGCAAGAGGAGTTCCTCTCTCTATGAGGGACTCTTTCTGTGCAAGAGTACACGGACAAGTTCACTGAATTGTCTTGGTTTTCTACCTTTGTGGTCTCGAACAAAGATAAAAGGGTTAAGAGGTACATCAAGAGGATGGACCCAAGGGTCCGCACTCATGCTTTGAGCTTGGGGGCTGCTACTTACCAAGGAGCCTATGAGCTATCTCTCAGCGTGCATGCCTCTATTAAGGAGGAAGAGGCAAGGAAAGCTGTTGCGGCAATGAAAGCGGCCGCCAACTTCTCTCAAGGTCCGGATAAAAGGTCTATGTTTGATGTTGCGGGCAGGGGCGGTTTTCAGCAAGGATCTGGGTCTCACCCTAACAATGACCCGAGGAAGTGCTGGAGGTGCAAGGGTGACCTACATCCGGGAAAGAACTGTGACGGCGCGAAGATAGCAAACTATTATTGAAAGGTGGATGGTCACAAATCCTTTGAGTGTCCAAAGAAGGATAACAATAGTGTAGCGAGTGCTGCTAGACCTTCTACCTCATCTGCCCCTCCCAGAATTGGATATATGACATGACTCAAGAGGAGGCCGACATCCATCTCGACGTCGTGACTGGTACATTTCTAGTCCATGGTGTCCCTGCTTTTTTGCTATTAGATTGTGGTGTGACTGTTTCCTTTGTATCTAGCACTTTTTTTTCAGAAAGCTAAATTGTCAAATAGCACTCTTGTAAAATCTTTAATTTCTTTACCATATGGGGAGAATTATGCTTGTAATAGGGAGTTTAGGGGTGTTTATATTGCTATTGTGGGAACCGAGTTCCAAGCGGATCTCAAGGAGTTTTTGATGCAAGAGTTCGATGTGATTCTCGGCATGGATTGGTTGTTCAAATATCGAGCTTCCATTCACTGCCGTGGTCAAAAGGTTGTGATGCAGAAACTAGGTCTCTTATTTTTGGGGTTGTGTTAAAGAAGGGAGTCAAGATTGTGTCTGCACTCAGAATGCGGAAACTTCAGCAAAAGGGCGACATGATTTTTTTTGTGTAGAGTCAAGGACCCTTCTCTCGAAGAATAACTTGAGAGTATTCCTGTGGTCAAAGAGTTTCCAAATGTGTTTCCTAAATATTTGTCGGGTATTCCGCAGAAAGGGATGTGGAGTTCGGCATTGATTTGATTCTGGGCACTACTCCTATATCTAAGGCACCTTACAGAATGGCTCCGTCTGAGTTGCAAGACTTGAAGACTCAGTTGCAAGAACTCATAGACAAGGGTTTCATAAGGCCTAACGTGTCCCCAAGGGGTGCCCTAGTAATGTTTGTCAAGAAGAAGGATGGGAGTATGCGGTTATGCATTGATTACCGAGAGTTGAATAAGGTGACAATCAAGAATAAGTATCCATTGCCCCAAATTAAGGACCTATTTGATCAATTGAAGGGTGCTGGTGTGTTCTCTAAGATCAATATAAGGTCTGGGTATCATCAAATTCTGGTAAAGCCGAGTGATATTCCTAAGACAACTTTTCGCACCATATATGGGCACTATGAATTTGAGGTGATGTCGTTTGGTCTTACCAATGCTCCTGCAGTGTTCATGGATCAGATGAACCGTTCATTCCATGAGTACCTTTACACTTGTGTTTTTGTTTTCATTTATGACATCCTCGTGTACTCAAAGATGAGGCGAAACATGAGAAACATTCGAGGCTTAATTGTGAAGCGTTACGTAGACTAAAGTGGTATGCCAAATTGTCAAAGAGTGAATTTTGGTTGAAATAAGTGGCTTTTCTAGGGCATGTGATCAGCAAGGAAGGTGTGCTGGTTGATCGTGCGAAGATCAAGGCTGTGGTTAAATGGAAGAGTCCTAAGAATGTCTCAAAGGTTCGAAGTTTTGTAGGTCTTGCCGGTTACTACAGACGCTTTGTGATGGACTTCTCTAAAATTACTCAACCATTGACTAAGTTGATGCGGAAGGATAGTAAGTATATATGGTCTGAGGAATGTGAAAGGACTTTTTAAGCTTTGAAGAAGAGTTTAACTTCAGCTCATGTGCTTACTTTATCGACCGAGGGTGTGGAATTCGAGATATATAGTGATGCATCTAAGAATGGTCTGGGTTGTGTGTTGATGCAACAGGGTAAGGTAGTTGCATATGCTTCAAGGCAGCTAAAGGTTCATGAAAGGAACTACCCATCTCATGACCTCGAGCTCGCTGTTGTAGTATTTTCTCTTCAGATCTGGCGACATTATCTGTATGGTGTTACGTGCAAGGTGTTTACTGATCACAAGAGTCTCAAATATATGTTTACTTAACGTGATCTAAACATAAGGCAAAGAAGATGGTTAGAGGTGATCAAAGATTATGATTTTACTCTAGGTTACCGAGAAGGAAAGGCTAACAAAGTAGCAGATGCGTTGAGCCGAAAGGGTAAACACTCTCTGAATGCTGCCTGGGTTATGCCTCAAAAGTTATATACCGAGTTTCAGATGCTCGAAGCTCAACATTGAGGTGGTCCCTCAAGGGTTTGTGAGTTTGTGTTTGAACTGGATGAGTGTTGAACCCGTGTTGTATCAAGAATTGAAGGAGAAGCAAAAAGGTGATCCAAAGTTAGAAAATATTCGTGAAGCTAAGGCTCAAGGTCGTGCCGAGAACTTCAATATTGGTGAAGATGGAAGTATGAAGTTTATGGGTCGTTGGTGTGTGCCGGATGATGCTAGGTTGAAAAAGAAGATCCTCGAGGAAGCTCATAACACTCCTGTAGACACCCATCTGTGTCTCCCCAAAACCAAAACCGGTGATGAATACCTTTCGCGTCGAATAATAATCG